GGTTTTGTTTTGTTTGTCGAAAACCATGAGTTTGAGAACTGTGTCGACGTAGACTTAGAGTTGCGATGCGCATGGTTGGTTACAATGTGATTATAACATGTTGGGCATTGAGTTTGGATAATCTAAGAATTCAGCACGCGGAATGGTTCAGTTGACATCGTTGGACCACTGCTGGCACTGCTGTCGAAAATCATGGGGGGGGATGAATGTGATTGTGATGCCATGATCCTCGTCGCAGTACAAGCAGCGTTCTAGCAGACGTTCGGGTTTGGTTTTTGTTCATTTTGTAAACGTTTTCCCCGTTTTACCTGCGGAAAATGAGGAGAATTTCTTGTTTGTTTCCGATTCCGCGTTTTACCTGCGGCATTCGGAGATAAGTTCATGATATTTGTTTGTTTTCTCGTTGTTAGTATTCGAGAGTTATGCCTTGCATGTATTGCTGTAGGACGGATTGAGTTCCATGGTCGGAGATATGTCGAAGGGGAGATGTCAATCGGTATATGTTTTGTATTCTGTTTCTTGCAATCCAGACAAAATACTGGATGGCTTCCATTTTCTGTTTCGGGAGTTATTTCAGCAGGGGGGCTGTTAAGCTTTTCATGTTCTGGGAGATAGTGCAGCAAGGGGCTGTTAAGTTTTTATGTTTTGGGAGATATTGTGGCCAGGGGCTGCTAAGAAATTGATGTTGTCTCTTTGTTTGAGAAACGGCTTAATTGGTGAAAGTTTCCTCTGGCGTTTAAATATGCGCCGGGTTTTTAACCTTTGTCTCTTTTGCCGTATTTGGTATTTTGGTTTTTCTGAATGATATATTGAAGGAAGGAATTGGCATATTTTGGTAAGACATGGTTGAGGCCTATGTGCTTCCGAAGCTTATTTGAGATTGGTCAATGAGCTGAAACATGGTTTTGTGCGAGGATCTTGTCCGAAGTAATAGTTGACACGTTTTTCCGGAGTTGTCCGTCCAAAGTCTTCATGACGTGACTCTGATGTAATGTTGATCTTTGCGGAGTATTTTTCTAAGGATGGTTCTTGGTGTTTGGCTGCTTGAGAATTTGGTGACGACATTTTCTCGAGACGGATGACTGTTAAGACTCTAGTGAAGTTCCAACATACATAGTCGTGGATTAAGGAGGAGTAGTAGCTTGAAATTTGAATATTCAATAGATCGGGAAGTTGAGATGATTTGTGAATATGAAAGATGAATGGTTTTGGTTTTGTTGCCGTTTTACCTGGCGATATGTACGGAAGGTTCGTAGATCGTATCTCGTACCGAGTAGGGGGGCTGTTTGTGTATGTACTCGGCAGGATACAGATCTCCGAGATATCCGAGGGGGTACGCAGATATGATAGGTTTGGGTATCTGCAGACGTGTGTGCAGCAGCATGTCCTTCTTGCCTGCTGCTCATGCTTGTCACTCGTTAATAGCTCGTTAATAGTTAATCAAGGAACTTGAGTCACTCCTTTGTGCAACACGCTCTCGACAAGAGCCCGCGAGCGTGATAACATAGTACACGCGCCGACACCCCAAACACGATCACGTGTAGTCAGCTGACGTCGGTAGGGAAAGGTTCGGGAGGTAGGCACNAAGTACACGCGCCGACACCCCAAACATGAAGTTAATACATCACCACAACAGTTTCACCCGGTCAATAAGTGGCGTAGGCCGCAAACACTCTAGAGTTTGCCCCTCGAGTGAAGCCACATCGGGATGAGCTCTACCGGAGATGAGGTGCCCACTGCTGCGAGCGGAGAACAGATCCGCCCGGTGCAGGAGGGCCGCGATGCGGAGCTTGCAAGTTTGCAACTGCAGATTTCGCAATTGGCGGCCCTGGTGGAGGAGTCGGTGAAGAAGGAGGAGTCGGTGAAGAAGGAGGAGTCGGTGAAGAAGGAGGAGCCTGGCAACGTCGTGGCGGATGCAGCCAGTAGGGGCGGTTGGGTTGCCCCCCCCGGAGGCCAACAAGAGCCCACGCAGCCGCTCGGCGGTGGCGGGGATTTCTCCAGCAGCAAGCAAGAGACTGTGGACAAGGAACACGTCATCTGCTGGAAGGCGGCTGGGCCAGCAGATCGGGAGCGAACCCTGTTGGACCAGCCGGAGTGGGCCCGAGCATAGGACCGGACTACGTGGAAGCGAGGGGGTTAAACCCCCCAGGTGAGATACCCGTGGTTCGAGGAAATGGAGAATACCTCGACGGCTACAGTAGTAGCAACCAGAAAAGAGTGATGGTCAATGCCCCGTTTCTAGATGAAAAAAGCCGTAGCCACGGATTCGATTCGTGGCGGCAATCGTTCATCTCAGCTGCGAAGACCATCGACTTGGACGAGCAGTAATAATAAACCCTTTCGGAAACTTGTTTTGGGTCAGACAAAATGCTCAGAACAAAGAGGGTCAGACTTTTTGGAATCTGTGGCCGGTAACGTTTTTCTCTGTCTGAGACTGCTCCACTTTTCACCAACGGTTCCGAAACCTCTCACCAACCTCATTTTAACTGAGGCGTGAGTTCCTGTTCAGATGGCTCAGATATTTGATATTTGAGCAGCAACTAACAGAGTAGCGTAAACCATAAAAGATGGCATCGCATGGTACAGACTCGCCCAAGCCTCATGTCACAACCACCGGACTGACAGACCTACTCTTCCTCCGATGCGGGCGGTGTGCGTCTATGTGTAGACATGTGGTGATCACTGTGGAAGGAACCGAGGGAGGGTGGGATGAGACAAGGTTCACCAGCAGAAGAGCAACTTTCTTGCCTACAACCACTTCAGGAGAACACCAATGCCATGGGCTGCAGGCCATTCGAACTGCTGGGAGGTGGCCCAAAAGTTGCCCTGTGTAATCTCTACCGGCGCCATCTCCTCAGCACAGCTGTTGCGGTGTGTGATTGTTCTAGGTTGAAGCTGCTGTTGCTGCTGCTTGCCGCTGCTTACTGCTGCTGCTGCTGCAACAGCTAGCTGCTGCTGCTGACCGCCGCCTCTCTTTTTCGGTTGATTGAAGCAGGGAACGCCACCTGAGCGGCTGAGAGTTTGCTTAAGCCTTGACAAGGTGTTTCTCAGCGGTAACAACAGCCCCGCTAGGTGCTCCTGGCACCTTGAATGATAGATGGCACCACCCAAAACCTGTCAGGAAAATCGTGCGTCGAGACCACCAGTAGTCGGACACGGTTTGACCTTTGAATACGATTGCAGCAACTAGTCTGCGTAGCAGTAGAAAAGAGTCCATCTCTCCTTGGCATGTATTCTCTTGTTCTAGAAATATTCCGGAAGCATGCTAGGTCAAGGTTGACCGGGACATCTACGATGAACGTGTGTAGCTTCTGGAAACCTTCTGGAAACATCTGGTTCCTTCTGTAGCTTCTGGAAGCCTTTCCTTTCTGGAAACTGCTGGTTCCTTCTGTAAGCTTCTGGACGCGTTCTAGATCTAGGTTGCAGTTGATACTCTTCTAGAACGTAGGAAGGCTTCCAAAAATCATTCTGGAAGCATTCTGCATCTTTCGTGTGATTGGCTTATTTGTCCGGTATTCGAGAAGAGTGGTGCAGCCCTATGCTCGCCCACTCCTCTCACTCCTCTTCAGTACCAGCAACATCAATCTGACTCGGGAGTCAGCAATTAATCTTCATATTTCCATTCCAAGTCTCTCGCGGTTGGAGACGCACAGAGTGTGAACCTCTGAGGTAGGCTACACAGTCTCCTGGCATCTGCAGCATCGTACTGCCGCTAGTGCACAGCGAAATATCACTGACAGGTTATTAGCCTCGGCTAACGCACACACTTCGAGCTGCGAACATCACGGGAAGATCAAGGCAACCTCTTCTCGGGACATCGACCTTCATCCGTGGACAACGAGAGAACCTGGTTTCGGAGATTTCTGGAGATTGCGACGCCGTCATCGGTCAACGGCAACACAAGCAGACGCGCAAACTTGGTCATCTACACCAAGGTGCTGAGGGTTCACGTCGTATACACACGTTACCACCCCTGTGGCAGTAGCGGGTATCTCTGTGGTGAACTAACAGCAAAAGTCACGTGCGCGGGAGTATCGAGCGGCATGCGCATCGGGTGTACAAGGAACTACACTGTATCATCAGTGGAGGCGATCAACAACCGGAGTCCTCCATATCAGTAGCAGGAGCGGGATCGGAAACAAGACAACCACAACCGGAGTCCTCTATATCAGTAGCAGGAACGGGGTGGGGAAGTCTCGGGTACAGGCAGTAGTACCACAAGCAAACTTACTCCTACAGCAGGAAGTACTTTTATCAAGACGAAGGAAATAAAGCTGGAACGAGCAAAGGATACTGCAACGAGCAACACAGGAGGTGGAACCGCGTTCGCCAGCGATAGTTCTACGAACCTGGCAACCGCGATCAAAGGCCTCAAGGAATTCGACGGAAAGGCCCCAGCTGAGTTCAAGACATGGATGAAGAAATTCTGCGTGGTGTTAGGTGTGACCAGGAAGGACATCCTGCCACTGCTGAAGAAACAAAGGAAGCCAGATCCCGCAGACACAGCGGCCTTCGACTCCTACACAAAGGCAAACGAAGATCTCTACGCCATTCTTTTCCTCCTAGTGGAACTTCCAGCCGCCTTGTCGATACAGAAGCACGAAGACGACACTGGCATCAGCGGCGACGGACAAGCTGCCTTCGAGGAGCTCTGCAACAACTATGACAGGGTAACGGACGAGGTCATCAGGCCCAAGATGGAGGAGCTGGAGAACAACCCCATGAACCCTGGTGAAAATCCCGACGACTACTTCAACCAGAAGCACCTACTCCCAGCTGGATAAGATGGGAGAACCCATCTCCGACCGCCGCTTCAAGGACATCTGCGTACAGGGCTTCTCCGACGAATACAAGGACGTCAAACTGATGGTGTTCAGAGACCCAACCTTCAACGTCCTGGACATGCAATCCACCATGCGCAACATCTTCTTGGACGAACAATCGCGCAAGGGATGGAACGGACGCATCGCTGGTCGAGGATTTGCCATGGCGACGACCGCGTCTGACATCATCTGCCACAGCTGCTACGAGCCGGAGCGCATCAGGAGAAACTGCCCCAAGATCAAGAACAGGGCGAAGAAGAAAAC